GTTACCGGCCTCCAACTAGACTCAGCGCCGCTGATGACAACCCTCTGAGTTCTGCCATTCAGCCAGTTCTCAATCCACTTCACCGACCACTCATCCAGCCCATACTTCCTGAGCTTCCCTAGGAGGATATTATGGGAGACCCTGTCAAAAGCCTTGCTGAAGTCCAGGTAGACAACATCCACGGCTCTCCCTTCATCTACCCAGCCAGTCATGCCATCGTAGAAAGCTATCAGATTGGTCAGGCATGATTTCCCCTTGGTGAATCCATGCTGACTACTCCTGATAACCTTCTTTTCTTCCACTTGCTTCATGATGGCCTCCAGGATAAGCTGCTCCATCACCTTTCCCGGGATGGAGGTGAGGCTGACCGGCCTGTAGTTCCCTGGGTCCTCCTTCTTGCCCTTTTTGAAGACTGGAATGACATTGGCCTTTCTCCAGTCCTGTACAGGTCTTTCCAGACCTATACAGAAAGTATAAGGGGTATGAATTAGAGAACTGCTCACCCACTCCTTAAACTTCTAGGATCCTTAATTATAGAAAATTGCGAAGTAAACAGTTTTCCTCCTCTTGGGAGCTGAAGGAACAAAATCCCACAACTGAAGAAAAACATCATATAGCTTGTAATATGTACACTCCTAACGACAAAGTTCGCTAAAGCTGAAAATATGAATTCCCAAAGTATGCCTTAAATAATATGTAACAGAATAGAATCAGGGGAATATAGTGGCACTTGAGTCCACTCTGCTGATAAGGGAACCTGAGGTCACAAATGTTCTTATCTTATTAACAAGGAAGAAATTTAGAGAGGTCAAAGCTCGCAAAGGGTGTCTATGTCCTAACCACCTTCTGAATTGCTTCTATTGAGATTTTGTGGTATCAGATCATTGAAACAGGTGACCATCCAACACACAAAGCTCTACTGACTACCCAACATCTTTTGGTGCTTAAATGGAGTCAAGTCTGAAAATCCAACCTCAGCTATGGAAGCTGAAAGAAGGCGTTTTTTCAAGGAGATTGTGAATAACACATTAAGGTTTTAACAGGCATTAACGTGACTTCAGTTAAAGGGTCCATCCATCTTACGATGTTATGACTGTTTTGTACACAGAATATCTACTGCATAAAATGTTTGTCTCAAAAGGGTGTGTCTGGGACTAGGGCAGAGGGAGATGTTTGCCTTTTTCTGGAAGCTGTGATGTGTGCCAGAAGAAGCTCCTGGGTAGGAAAAGATTCTGATTATTTACAGAACTATTGAGTCAGATGAGAAGAGTTTTCAGTTTACAACGATTAAACTGCATCTAAAAGGTTTGACATGCAGACATAGAAGATTGTCCTTGGCATCAAGACACTGCGTATCATTGTGTTCTATATTTTAACACACAGTTTAAATCGTTCACTGGATATGAACAGAGTTTTGAATTTTTGAACATTAGGAAATACAAAATTTCATTGCTTGCTTTCCTAGAGATATAACCTTAACTTTGATGACAACAACAACTGAAAATATGCAGCAGTCAAGGTGAAAAATTAAGATTTCATACCTAGACAATGTATTTTTCTTGAATAGGCTAGGTCAAACAAGAGCCACTGAGGTTGGTGTGGAAGTTAAAGTTCTGAAGCCTGTATTACATCAAAAGCTAGATCCTTCTGTGTTTAAAAGCTTTGGATGAAGAACTCAAACCCCATGAAATTCTCCTATTTTTGAAGGCTTGACTTCCAGGATTTATCTACATAAACTTCTGTTGCATCTGCTGTAGTGGTTGGGCCTATATAGAATGGCAGAAAGATTAGATGAGATGGCAGGCAGAGATGTCACATCTGTAAGATGTTCTCTTTTTCAGTTCTAACCTTGTGAGGACTTTGCTCAGACCTGTCTTGAGATGGTCTTCTACTCCTGATCTTGGACAAGCCCATTCATCAATACCTTATTCGGAAGGGTATACAAGCTGTCAATAAGCACAGATGGATTTGTGGTTAATGCTGATCACCTGATGTTCTGTGCTCTCTGGATCTTTGTGTTTTTTGGCTTTTTAACAGTAGTTGTGACAGCAGAGAGGCACAGATGTTTAGGAATCTAATCATATTCATGAAGAATGAGAACTATAAGCACCTTGGAGCATTTACTCCACAGGATAAATATGAAGGATTAAATTGCAATAACAGCAAAAGAGTAGGAAAAGTGATAGAAGACCAAATTTATTAAATCTTGAGGTCTGCAGCTGCCTGAAGTAGAAGATGAAAGTCAAGGAAGATTATGAGAGTTGAATATTTCAAAGCAGTTCAAGACACAAGTACCAAAAGCCAAGGGGAAGCTGAGATGCAGCTAGCAAAAGACATCAAAGTTCATGAGAAATCATTACGAACGTAGTTTGCGTTAGTATAAAGAGGGTAAAAGAAAGGGAAGTGCTCTTTGTGGAGGAAGAATTTAGTAAGCAGAGAAATGGAAAAGACAATCACTTAAAACCTATATACAAAATGTCAATGGCATGTAGGTGGTTAGATCAGCTATCGCAGCAGTGACAAGAAAAAAGAAAAAGCTTACGTAAGACTTTGTAAAAACTCTAACAACTCCACTTTGTAATTTTTATAAGAATTTTATTGTTTTAATCATCTTATGAACTCTTCCCCTGAATATTTACAAAATCGTTTGAAAGGATCTTGGAATTGTTAGTAGCTGCTTTTGAGAAACAGTGGAGAACAAGTGGGGTACGAGATGACTGTAAAAAAGCAAACTAAAAGGGTTTTTTAAAAAAAAGTTACTTTCAAAAGAGTGGGTTGAAAAAGGGTCAGAAAATTAAACTCCTGTTGTCCTACTGTCAATTTGTAGAAAATACAGCTAATTCAGTACACTGTTTCTAAATGTCTGGAAGATACTAAAAAGATGCATAGTAGTCAGCAGGTATTTGACACAACAAATCATATCAAGCCAAAATAATTTCTGTTTATGAAGTAATCCTTCTGCTCTGTTTAACAGTGGGAAGGCATAAACAAGGTATTCTAGTGTTCTAGGAACTGACGATGAAAAAGCAGCTGAATTTGAAAGATTCAACAGGATAATAGAGAAAGTGATCAGAGGTCTCGAAATCATTGTGTAAGACTAAAAGAGTAGGGTAGAAATATGGTAATAAACATCACAGCGAGGATATACGGAATGGAGTTACAATAGTTTACAATAGTTTACAATATAGATGAGACTGCTGAACAGAGGAAGATAGTAATTTTTTCTTCATGTTTTTGGTGAATGAGATTCACCATAGAATGTTCTAAGGTTAAACTGCAACACGAAAAACTTTTTTTCCGGTACTGGAAACCTCTTTCTGAAGTTGGACTAATAAAAGTCGCTGACATAGATTCGTGTGGAGAGACTGACAGAGACTCCACTGATGGTGACTCTGCAGTCTAAAAATAGATTCAGATCAACATCTGCTAGGAGTGACAAGGTGTATCTGGACAATGGGATAGTTCAATTGCTTGAATTGATAGTTGCTTGTGGACAATGGGATAGTTCAATGTGCCCTTGGGATTCCCCTCAGCATAATTCTTAAAAATTATTTTAAGTGCAAGGGCCGTGTTGTTATATTTGAATGAGCTTAGCTCCATGCTTTAGTGCCTTAAACGAACACATTATTCATTCGCAGGAAGTGGTTAAAGCACTTTTGAGACACAGAGTTCAGGACAGTAACTTCTTTGTATTTCCTAGTAATTTCTCAGCACGTCCCTTCTGTTTCATCATTAACCTACACATACAAACTTCTCTTCCAATATATTTCTTGGTACATCTATTACATAATTCCAACACCCTTTCATGTAACATACAGATGTGTATACATAATACTTGTTTATATGTATACTCCCTCTTTTTTTCATCTCTCCATCCTTTTCCTTATGCAACATCCATATTGTTTACGACAATCTTGTAACCTTATACAAGTGTATTACCAGCTACATCATCTTCTTTGCTATCATCTCGCTGTAGGCTCCATCAGCTAGTCAGAGGTAAAGCAACCTGAATAGATTTGATTTTAAACTAGTAAGTCTTCATATTTGAAAAATCTGTATTACTAAAAACTTGGAAAATATATCATATTTTGAAATGGAGAAGAAAGATAATTTATTATCAATAATAACAATGTTTCTTAACTGGACAATGATGAAAAGAGCTATTAGTCAGAGTTTCTAAACTTTCAGTTTAAAATTATGTACCTGTTACCATTAGTGTTATTCTCTCATCACTACTGCAGTACTGAATTCCCTGTCACATCTTCAAGATGCTATTTTTAGGCATATCAGTATGTAACAACACAGATGTATTTTCTGTGAGAAATGTATGTACATTTAAAATAAAGGAAAGAATAATTCTCAAGATACATAAATTTAATTTTTGAAGAGCAGTGAAATTATTGAGGAAAAAAAGAAAACTTAGTTTTGTATCTTCAAAAATGCCATTTCAATCAAGTATCATTTTTTGTGTGCTTGAATAAATGGAATTACCAACTTGAGTAAAGTCCTTGATCAGAATGAGGCTCTTCAACCAATTATGTGGAGATCAGAGTGCTTAAAATTATAAGGAATACATTTAGAATTATTAAAGGCTTCAAATAGCCTGGTTCAGGCAAAATTACATATAATTGATCATTTAGTATGTGTTGTCAGTAGAAACTCCAGTTATAGGTGTGGAAGACCACTTTTTAGACAAATTGCAGTGAAACTTTTGTAAAATCCAAACCATACCAGAGCTCCCTTTTTGCAGGAATTTTACTGAATGCAAATCCCAGCCACTTTTATTCCTCTTCTCTAAGTATGGAAAGATACACCGTAAATTAAAGTTCTGAACAATGTTATCTGGATGAAAATGTGAAACACAGATGAAGCAAAACCAAAACAGATTACCTTAATTGCTAGGCAAGTGAAACCACAAATTTTGGAATTAGGATGCTTTTAAAAAAGTTTAAATAAGTGATTCTTAAAAAAAAAACCCAACAAACATTAGCTTTAGAGAGTAATGTCTTTGCCAAAGGGCAAAGCAATTTGTAGGAAATTAACATTAAGACTGACAAACACAAACTGGATTGTCAGAGAGTGATTGTATAAGGGACTGGCTCTATAACCTGCCCTGAGAATAACATGACTGTTTTATTGATTCTTATTTAGCCTCTGTGCAGTCCCTCTGGCCCTTTGCTTTGAATTTTATGATTCATTTATTACAGAATATCATTCTGGATAGGTAGCATTTTCAGTCAGGTACATAAATCCTAATCTGGCAATCATCCTCGATATCTGTCAGGCTAGTGACAAGATTCTCATTGATTTTAGGGATACAGGCTTAGGAAGAAAATGGCATGTATTATGCAGTATAAGATGCAGGTTAGTGGACTTAATGCATACTTTACTATCTGTGTGCAGTTACAGCTTATGACCAAACTCGAAACTTGCAAAGATCAGTCACAATCTCATGTTCACCTCTCTGCATCAAGTGGCATTTTTCTGCTTACCAGATCTGAAAATCTCTTGATGGACTTGGCCCTAGTTCGAAGTCTGAAAGTTACTCTCCATTTTCACCATGGACAATGCTTTCAGATACTACACTAGGAGCGTTGTGTTCTCTTAACATGGCAACCTTGAGGTGGGTCAGCCTTGGCTAGCAGCCAGACTTGCACCCAGCTGCTCGCAGCCCCCCCACCAGTAGGACAGCAGCAGCAAACAGGAAGAACAGCAATGAGAAAGCTTGTGGGTTAAGATAAAAGCAGGGATATTGCTCACTAATTACTGTTGCAGCTAAAACAGACTTGACTTGGAGAAGATTGATTTATTGTCGATTAAAATAAAAATATAATTGCTAATAATTTGGGTAGTGGGAAACAAGAAGACATGCATGAAAACACCACCTTTTCTCCCTCCTTTCTCAGACTCAGCTTCATTCCAGACTCCTCTCCCTGACCAGCACAGGGGGAATTGGGCAGGGAGAGTACAGTCGGTATGTCACAGTTTCTCTTCACCGGTCCTTCCTTCTCATGCTTTTCCTCTGCTCTGGCAGGACTCCTCCATGGGCTGCAGTGCTCCAGAAAAACGTGCCCCAGAGTGGGCTCACCACGGTGTCTTTAGGAGTGTCCATTCGCTCCAGCACGGGTCTTCTGGGGGCTGCAGTGCTCTGCCATGGAGCATCTCCATCTCCTCCTTTTCTCTCTCCGACCTTGGCGTTCCCTTTTGTTTCTTACTCTTTTTGTTCCCACCTCCTCCCTCCACACAGCATTTTCTGCCCTTTCTCAGCTGTGCTCTTGCAGAGGCCCCACCGGCTCTGCCGCTGGGCTCCGCCACCGCCCCCCCGCCGTGGAGCCGCCAGGAGCATGGCGGACGTGGAACCCCTCTCCTCTTCTCTCGCCGCAGAGCCCGGCCCGGCGGTCCCTGTCGCCCTCCCGCCACCAACACCTTGCGAGGCGCAGCCGAGACCAGCCTGAGCAGCAGGGTGTTGCGCAGGTCCGGGGGATGCGGCGAACCTTACGGAATGCCATGGATTAGGTCAAGAGGGTGGCAGGTGGAATTCGAAATGAAACATGGAGCCAGTACCCTGGAAAGGTAATTGGACTATTTATGCGTCTTGCTCATTTCTAAATTAAATTTAACTAATTCGGGACAGAAACCAGATGTGAAGTCTTTGAGTTAACGTACAGCTGCTGTTCAAAAGGCAAAAGGAGGGCGAAGCATGCACGATTCTTACAGAAGGGAGTAAGGGAGGCGGCGTGAGGATGCCGGCCCGTGCCCAGCTCGCAGCCAGCGGCGATGCGGGAGCCTGCCCGCCTCCTTTCCCCTGAGGCACAGGACGCGTTATCTTGACATCACCGCGAGTTCAAAGACTGGACCCGCCTCG